ATGATTGTACGATAATACCAGTGTGAATGATACGAGCCTGGATGATAGAAGTAGGATGAGCAGGACCCAACAATTGGTGACCCCGACATCACCCCGAGGTGATGGAGATGGAGAAGTGAAGAGCATTGTCAAAGAAGAATAGTGGACAAGTGGTGTGCAACTGGACAATTCTAAATGATTTGTCATCACATGACCTATCGTCCTGGTATGTAACAGCAAGATTTCCAGTTAAAAGTGTAATAAGAATTGTGAGAATTGAATTACAGTGAAAAAGATGAAAAGAAGAGATGAGAAGATGAGTGAAAAGAAATATACAACTTGTGTAATTCATGTAATTCATGTTCAGAAAAAATATATAATTATTATGTAACACTGTTATTATATATTTCATTTTTGTAGGATGGAGTTTGTAACATTAAAATTAAAATATTTTATATCTGTCATCATGTCATTTTTTTATTTTACTTTTTTTTTTAAATGACATCTTTTTAATCTGCGACAAAAAAAAGTTCTGCATCATTAAAGGCACACTTTCTGACAGTATGGATAACGTGTATTCTTGCGCTGACTAGTTTTGATACCTTTGGAACATTTTGTTCAAGTAATATTCTGAGATACAATATTTCGTCACAGTTTTTGCTGAATTCGGTAATAATTATAAAATCAGTCGTAATTATTTGTCTGAATAATTCTATAGATATTCTGGTGACACAAAACACAGAATGAAACATGAACAGGAGGGACAGTATGGGGAGTTAGAAGAGGAATGGCAAAGTGAAATATGCAGTGACGTTGGTATGGGAAACGAAGGCCAATATTGTGATATTGTCTATGTTTGAGTGATAAATGTCACAGTAATTGAGTTTTAGGACGGGTGCCCCAGCAACAGCAGCAGAAGTGGAGTCAGAGCCCAAGAAGAAAGACAAGGCCATCCAATCAGAAGAGGACAACGTTTGTGTCTGTTACGCTTAAAAACCTGGGTCAGGGAAAGAAAGTCCGTCAGACATCGTGAACTGACGTCTTATCCTGTTTGGAGACGCGTTGATTTGACCCAGAGCTCTGGAACTGCCAATTTTTGCGCAGAACCCAACAACTTCTGGATAATAAAAGACTGGATGTTAAAAGTCTGGATGACTCCAGAACCGGAATATGTTGAAAGAGTCCCATTTCGTGTTTTAAAATGACACATATATATAAACCTTGTAAGCTATTTGACTTGAAGACTGATTAAGATTCCAACTCTGTGGAAGTGGAAAGAAAACCCATTAACTACGTCCATGATGAACAACAAAGCTGTCAGTAATTCTTTCTTTTACACAAAGTTTCTGAGGACAAACTTTAGATTTGTGTGGACTGTGGAGCAGTGTGAAGCATTGATTGGCATAAATAATATTCCACTTTCTATAAGATCAAGTCCCATTCAGTCTTTTTCACTGATAAGATTATTTCTTTTTCTTTTATTTTTTTCTTCTAGCTCACTCAGTTGCCTGTTGTTTTACAGTGTCTCACGTTGGATTTTTTTTTAGGCAGCAGGATCAGATCACAGCCTCACAGCTG